CGTATAAAATAATAGAAAAGAAGATATATGGAGGCTGCTGGCGGCTGGGAGAAAAAAAAAGGAGAATTAGGGCAAATCCCGAAATATGTTGTAATTTCCTTAAAAATCTCTCCCGCAGGAACATGCGCTTCAGGCTGCTCCGCTAGGCTGTTCCGCATGAAAATCTCCAATTTGTACTCTTTCTGCCTCTTTCACTCCAAGTGATTCATCTTCCTTCCAATGCAACTCCAAACCTATAATGACTTAAAAAGGACTAAAGAGACTTGATAAAGACTCAAAAACACTTTAGAAAAAATTGTTAGAATATGCTAAAAACACCATATATCAGAATGCATGCAGAACTTAAGGCATTACACAGTGACATTTGCGACGGATTGTTCTCAGTTGGTGAAGATGGTTTCGGAACCTGAAGAATTTCCAGCATTTGCAAGTTATTGGGAAGATATTAAACTGCTGAGAAGGAGTTTTCATAGCTCAGAGCTCCTCCATGTACCAAGGACGCAAAATTCAAGGGCGGACAGTCTAGCACGTAGTGCAAGGAAGCAACCGTCTTTTGTTGTCCATATGGATTCAGAGCTACCAACTTGGTTCGAAAGATCTACATGAGCCTGTTTCTTTTGATGAAAAAAGAAAATATTTATGGAGCACTCTGAGTGAACTGAATCGCAGATGTTGATGGTCGGATGTTGGTATTGTTCCATGATTTTTTTTTGTAACATAAAATATAAAAATGACAAGGTCAAATGATATGATAACCTTTTTAAAAATAATTTTGTTGGGTATCTTAAATTCTTGACAAATTATTGTTGATATATTCTTAGAATATTCTATATCAGTATTAAATAAAAATAATAAATCAATATTGATACATATCTCAAGTTTTGAGAACCTTGTCATTATTTGAAAAATTATCTTATTATTATTTTAAACCGATAATGATATTTGTGTGTTGGTTTGTCTTAGTTTATTTTCTTTTGAATTGTTATGAAATGTATTAATTCTTAGTCATTAAGAAACTTCACAACTAATTCGACCCATTCCAAACCTGATTTTCTCGTTGAATACATTTTTTTCTCCTTTCAAGCGCTGCATCTCTAACTATTAAAAGATGAGCAAAAGAAGTCTCAAAACTTATTGCAGTTTTAGATTTTGATTTGGGAACCAAAATACACTTTTTCCGATCCACAAATTACTACGGTTTCAAAGAAGAAGATAAAGTAACCTATATTCGTTGTTGGGTTACTTGTTGAGTCAATGTCGATTTCAGTCTCTATTCTTCACCAAAAGTTTGTCAAATTTTGCTCAGTTTCTGGATTACACCATTGCCGTTGTTCATACTCAAAACTTCAATGTGGTATTACATTTTCATTTTTGACTGGATTTTATCTAATTATTTATATTCGATTAATGAAGTTTAAAAAAGAACGTTTCACAAATACTAATCAGAATATTAGTACTGAAGAGTTGCAATTTCAAATTTAAATTCATTGATCAATTTGTGTTGACCAAAGCTATTGGGAACTATGAAAACATTGTGATCCTCACGACTAATGTTAAACTCTCACAAAATATGAGTATTTATGTTCACTTTGTAGTTTCTATGTTATTGTTTCAGATAAGCATCAAAGATTGGAGAAGAAAAGGATTAGAGTATTGTCCTTATTTTTGTATGAATGATTTGTGAGATTCTGCGATTACATTTATCGATTTGAAAAATTTAGGAGCTATCATAATGAGATTCAAGATGTATAATAAAAATAAGGGAGAATTATATATGTTCTTTGTTGTTAAAACAAATATTTTACATTTTTATTTGTAAATGCATGTAAAAAAAAAAAATTACAACTTGAAAAATTATAGTTTTCATGAAATATATGTCATTTTAGCGTTTATATTTATTGAATTAATTATTTACTGCATGAACCTAGATGCTAGGAAAGTAGGAATCAGAAGACCAAAAATACATTGAATATAATATATGTGAGTAATCGACCATATATGTATATTGTTGACCTTATAAGCTTTGTGACATTAAAATTTTAGAAGTGCCACCATGAAAAATCAATTTTAAAAGTTTTTCCTTCCAAAAATTCACGCAGAAGACATAACAATACTGGTAAAATCAATAAAGTTGGTAATACTATATATGAATTAAAAGAAGTAATTGTTTAAATAGGTAATCATGTGAAGCTGAAAACTATTTTTCTATCTCGAACTGTCTCTTAATATGCATGAATTAACTTGATTAATATCCTATAAAATAATTGGTGATCATACAATCTCACTGATAATACATCAAATTCTTATTCCAATAGTATTTCACCAATATTTTTTTTTACGATCATAATTTTATAAACATCCAAAAACATTCACAAAATCATTAGTTTCAAATGATAACGTAACAAACAAATAACAATAGCTTATAATAAATAATTTAATTCAAATAACAAATAAATTATATCCCCGTCCATAGGACGAACCAACAACTAGTGTATATATATATTGTCAAGTATTTTGGACCACCTCAAAATATTTATATATTTAGATATTTTTTATAATTAATATATTTAAATATATAAATCTAATTCAAATATATTCTAATATCTGAAATATTTTGATTAGAGTCGAGTTAAGTTCGGTTCTTTAAATACCAAAATTGTGTATTAGAATATTTAGCGAAGTTTAATTGAGCTTCAGTATTTTTTTTTCAGATCTTATTCAGTTCGATTTTTTTGGTTCAAAGTTTTTGACCTGACCTTAGTCAACTGAGTGAGCAGACCACATATATCTATACTATTATTTATGAAGTAAATTTACTTAGTTGTTATGTTCTCCATAAGTATAGGTAATTTTGTTTATTTATCAAATTTTTAATATTTATATATAATTTATTTATAAATAAAACGTATTTATATGAATATATCATATTTTAGAAAATAAGATAATTCTTGTGAATTATTTTTTTATCTTAGTTGTCATGTTCTCCATAAGTTTAGATAATTTTGTTTATTTATCATATTTTAAATATTTATATATAATTTATTTATAAATCAAACAAATTTATATGAATATATCATATTGTAGAAAATAAGATAATTCGTGTGAATTATATTGTTATCTAGAAAAATATTTTATATATATAACTTAAATTTTAAATTAAGATATAAAAATTCTTATATTTATTATATAACTAGAACACATTTATATTAATAATTCTATATTTTTATAAAATAAGATAATTCTTATGTATTATGTTGTTATCTTGAAAATATATTTTCGTATTATAAAACTTTAAATTAAGATATAAAAATTATATTATTAATAATTAACTATAAATTATCAAAACAATTATTTTAAAAACGAATTTGTTGATTTGTCTCCATGATCTTAGGTAATTTTGATCATTTATAAGAATTTCTTTAATTTTGTTATTATTGAGTATATAGTTAAAATTAATTTATATTCATAATATGATATTTTAGAAAATAAGTTAATTCTTATGCATTATGTTGTTATCTTTAAAATATATTTTTCTGTTATAAATTTTAAAATTAACATGTAAAAAAATCTATACTGTTATTTAAGATGTTAATTTGATGTTTGTTGATATGACATATTTTCCATGATTTTAGGTAATTTTAATAATTTATCATAATTTCTATAATTTTATATATAATTGTTTATATATTAAAACAAATTTATATTAGTAGTATCAGATTTTTTAGAAAATAAGATACTTGTTATGTATTAAGTTGTTGTCTTGAAAATATACTTTTCTATTAGAATTTTAAAATTAAGATATAAAAAGTTGTAGTTATTCTATAATTGAAATAAATTTACACTAATAATAGTATACTTTTAGAAAATAAGGTAATTCTTATGTATTATGTTGTTATCTTGAAAATATATTTTTATATTATATAATTTAAAAGTAAAATTATATGTTATCTATTATTAGTTAAATATAAATCATCACTCAAGAAAAATTATTTAAGAAAAGAATTTGCTGATTCATTGAGTTTCCTATGATTTTAGGTAATTTTAATTATATGTCCTAATTTCTATAATCTTAAATAATTATTATATAATTAAAAAATTATCATATTATATGTTTAGAAAATAAATAACTTAAGCATTATATTATTATCTTGAAAATATGTTTTTATTATAAAATTTAAAATTAAGATATAAAAATTATAATAAAATATAAATTAAGTACTATATTTTTAGAAATATTATAATTAAATATAAATCAAATAAAATAATTCTAGAAATATATTTTTTTAAATATTTCTGATGTTTGAGTTTTGTCATTGGTAATTATTTGATGTTTGATTTGTTCTTTTGAAAACATAAATAATAACTTATTATACTGAATTTTAAATTAATGGAACATCAGCTAATAAATATTCATAAGAAAATTATGCCCGCAAGTGCGATCAAAACACCTAGTAAAATTGTAAATAAACAAACAAATAAACAGAATAAACAAAAAGAGAATATTTCATTTGATCTTTATCTTTTTTATTTTGTTTAATGTTTTTTGTAAGGCAAACAAAACAGAACTAGTGGTTGACAAAAAAAAAAAAAAAAACAAAACAGAACTAGTATTTATTTTATTCGTTTTTTTCTTGTTCGTCTGCTGCTTCTTCTTCTTCTCCAAAACAGAGAAAGAAAAAGAAAAAAACAATCTAAGGAAGATCAGGATGTCCGTTACTTTATTAAAAGCAAAGATCAATTACGATCACAGACAAAAGTGAGTGAATAAGTGTATTAAAGAGGGAAAGAGAGAGAGAGAGTAAACGAATACTGTACGTTTGTAGAAAACGTACAGAACAGAGACACAAGTGCTGGGATCAGACAGCAACTTCCGTTGGATTTGGTTTTGAACTAAACCCCACGAGATAAATTCTCCTCTCTCTCTCCTTTGAATCTACTCTTCCTTCTTCAACCCTAAGAAGAGAGAGAAGGACTGTTCATGTGAGACTGACTGTTAGAAAATGGACACTCCGCAAAAAACCTTAACCCAGATCGAGAATCCGATTTCTAAACTCAAACACGAGGTTTTGCTCCAAGACAAAAATTTCCTCCTTTTCGTTCTTAGTCTGTTTCTGTGATCATTTTCATGTTTTATTTGTGGAAAGTGTTTAAGTGTGTCTGTTTTATGGAATCTGCGCAATACCCATCTTGCAATCAGTTTAATTTATACTCAAAGATTCAGTTTAAGTAAGGTTCCAATTCCCACATAATGGGAAAACAAAATCTCAACTTTCCTGTTTCGGGTTTGTGTCTTTATGGAATTCCAGAGGTTCAACAATGGCAACCACGCTTTTGACAGATCTCTAGTCTTTGATCACTTGACCATTTCTTGTTAATTGAGTTGAATTGTTTTTGATCATTCAGTTTCTTTTTTTTTTTTTTTTTTATGTGGGGATGCAGAACTCTCCAGTGTACAACTACATAAACAGTCTGTCTCCAATCAAACCTGTCAGATCATTACCTATCCCTCAAACCTCTGGCTCTCTCACTTACTCATCTCCTCCTTCTGTCTTCACTTCCCCTCACGTCTCTTCTCACAAAGGATCTCGTTTAAAAAGGTCTCCTCTCATTTCCTTCTTAGTTAGTCTTTTAAAAGATTGTTTCTTCTTTGATTGGAGCGTGTTTGTTTGCATGCAGTGATGTGCCTGCTTCCATTGGAGAAGAAGAAGCTTTGTTTGAAACCGAAACGCCGCAAAACCTCGAGAATGATTGCACTACTAGAGTTATCGATGATGGTGAAACGGATCTGGTGAAGATGTGTGACGGCAATGTTAAGCAGAAAAGTGAAACTCTAGTTTGGGATGCTATGTTTTTGGACTCTTCTGATGATATTCTGATTTATGACCTAAAGAATAATGATTCAGAGGCTTCTAGATGCTTCTTGCAGACATCATCAGAATCCAAATCACGCTCACTGTGTGTTGCAAAGCCTACATTGGAGCCTGTTATGAATAGCGATGATGTAAGTATTAGTTTTGTGAATATGTTACTATAGTTTTGGTTCTTGACTGATCATTTTGTATGTGTGACAGCCTCTTCACCGTGGAGTAAGTAGACGCTGTCTTGACTTTAAGATGCCGCAAAATGATGAGCAAACGTCGGTTGCATCTTCATCTAGATGTGTAGTTCCTCGCATTGGTCTGCATCTTACCACCATTGCAATGTCCTCTAAGGACAACAATGTTGGTAATGAGTACTCACTATCCGGACATTCAAGAGTGGGTTTGCAAGGTTCTGCCACTCCGGTTCTTAACTTGCAAGACAATGTGAGAGAAAATGAAACAGGACAAGGTGTAAAAGATGGTGCAATGTCTTTAGCTTTGGTAGAACTGAATCAGAGCAGCCCCAAGAAGAAAAGGCAAGTTTGTCCTGAGACTCTCATATACATATTTTTGTCAAATTTTTCCTAACCATATGTCGGCATTACAATTGACAGGCGTAAGTTTGGACAAGCAGGAGAAGGGGAGTCTTCATGTAAACGGTGCAACTGCAAAAGATCCAAGTGTCTGAAGCTGTACGCTGAACACATCCCAAATCCTCTTTAATCTTTTTTTTTTCTCTTAGTTAAAATCTTTTTTTTTTTCTTTCTCTGCAGTTACTGTGAATGTTTTGCTTCTGGAGTTTATTGCATAGGGCCATGCACATGTATAGATTGCTTCAACAAACCCATCCATGAAGACACTGTCATGGCTACTCGCAAACAGATTGAATCAAGAAATCCACTTGCATTTGCTCCTAAAGTTATCAAAATCCCTGATTCCACCATAGAAGTTGGTGATGATGCAAGCAAGACTCCAGCTTCTGCACGACACAAACGTGGCTGCAACTGCAAGAAGTCAAACTGCCTTAAGAAATACTGTGAATGCTATCAGGTTTGTTTCTTTCACAACACACATTTTTATAAGATTCTTTTTTTTTTTGTATTGATTCTGATTCGTTGTCTTTGGTTGTTCTGTAGAGTGGAGTTGGTTGTTCCATAAATTGTAGATGCGAAGGATGTAAGAATGCATTTGGCAAAAGAGATGGTAAGTTTTTCTTTGTTCCATATTTCATAACAAAGTCTGTAACGTGTATCTCAAGTCTCTTGGTCTTTAGGGTTTGACATGTTACAGATTTCACAGTCTCTGCAGGGTCTTCATTTACTAGCATGGATATTGAACAAGATAAAGAAAATGCAACATCTGGCAGAGGCAGAAGAGAGAGACAGCCTTCAACACCAATGCCGTTTAGGTAAGAAATAATCTTGAAACAATCTCTGTGTGGTCATTTAGATTGCTTATGATTTACTCTCTTGACATTTGCTTCTATGCAGACAACCATTGGCTCAACTTCCTATCTCATCCAACAACATGCTGCTTCCTCATCAACATCTTCATGGAGCTTCTGGATCTTCCTTACACAAGAGCCAGTCTTTCACAGAACAAGACATGAGTTTGTTGTCTCACTCAAGGATTGAGACAATCACAGGGAAGAGAACAGATGATATTGAGAATCTAATCCAGTCTCCTATACCTAACATGATCAATGCTGCGTCTCCCAACAGCAAAAGGGTTTCTCTGACTCATCTGGATTCATCAGAGTCGAGTCCATGGAGAAAAAATGGTGGAAGGAAGCTCTTACTGTCAATTCCAACTTTTCCTTCTCTCACTCCACACCATTAATATTCTTTCATTCTTTGATTTGTTGATGTCAACTTCTAGTTGGTACTTTATTCTTAAACAATTTACATACACAACCGTTTTCTAGTAGCTTAGAAGTAGCAACAGGTACGTTTTTTTTTTCTTTCAGTGGTTGTGTAATAATAAAGCATTTATTATTCATTTTTTTTGTTTAATAAATTACAGGTTGTTGCACAAATTTTTTTTACTACTAGTTCAAATACAATACAATTAGATCAAACAATAAATTTTAACAGATACTACTATATAAATTTATGATCCCAACAAATCACTAATTAATAATTCTTATATACATGAACAAAACGTGATACTGTTATTTTTCTTCAAAACAAAATCGATCTCTATTTATTTTTTAAAATATTGTAATTATATTTTTTATTTTAAATAAATTTACTTTGAATATAATTACTTTATAAATTAATCAAATATACAGATTCGACATCTTTTTTAATAAAATAGAAATATCATATATAAATAATCTTTGTCTACCATGTTATTCAATTATACCATTTGACATATTTGATCTTTTAGAATCACACTAAAGATAATAATATCAAATATATTTCTAATAAATTTAATTATAATAGATTCTAATATCTTTTTCAAATATGTGTTTACTATAATAAAATCTTATGTTTTTAAAGTTACAATTCTCTTTCTACTAAATTTTTGATATAATATAAAACTTACAATATATTTAATAATTTTAATTAAGAATTGAAATAATTGTAAATAAATTTACTTTGAATATGAAGATAATTTAATTAAATATAAATTCGTTAGGTAAACCGAATATGTAAGGTTCTTAAATTTTTATTCACTTTCTTCTCACAAATTATCCAAACTTGTACATCGTCTTTTTTTAGATATACAAAATTAGATAAAATATTAATTTTTTTAGCTTCATTAGATAAAATATTTCTTAGAGAAATGCATAAGTTTCTTATCTGAACCACCTACCTGAATTTTAATTATATTATTGGTTGATTCTATAATAAAAAAATACAGCCATATCCTATTATATTCAAAACTAATTTTTAACATTATTGTTATTAGGACTGGGCGTTTTGGGTATCGGTTCAGTTCTGGTATTTTGGATTTCGGATAGTTCGGGTAGGGAGTTAGAGGATCCATTTACTACTTGACCTAAATTTGGTTCGGTTCGGTTCGGATAGTTTCGAGTTCGGTTCGGATAGTAAAACTAGGAACCAGAAAACACCTGGAAAATTCGGTTCTCATTTGGTTCCGGTTCGAGTTCGGGTAGTTCGGGTAAATTATCGGTTATTTAAGATAAAATATCAAATAATTAGAACGATTTATATACAAATTTTGGATATTTCGGATAAAATTATTCGTATTTCGGATACTCTATAATTATTTAGTTATCTTTAACTATTTTGGATACTTTTAATAAATTTTTAAATTAAAATCATATATTTAGTTATGTTATATGTATATAAAATTAATATTATTATATATTTGGATATCCGTTCGGTTTGGTTATTTCAGATATATAAATATAAGAACCGTTCGGATATTTGAGGGTCTTGGTTCGGTTTCGGTTTCAGATATTTTGGTTCGGTTCCAGTTTGATTTTTCGGTTTTAGTTTTTTTGCCCATGCCTAATTGTTATTATGATATTAGATCTTGAAAAGTAGCTGAAATAAATATTATTCTAAAAATGGTAACTAAAATATTTATAAAAGTAAAGAGAATAGTAGTATCAAAAACAAACACGAAAAAAAAAAAAAGTACAGCAAAAATCTAGCAGATTCCACCATTCGTGAGGACTGGGCCTGAGTGAGAGTGTAAAAGAATGACGTCGTTTAGTGGACTTGATGGAAATCTGATTTGGACTTTCTAACATTCATTTTCCCACTGTATCGCACAGGCGCGGTCGGACACTGTTTTTTTTTTCTTTGGTTCGAAAAGCATCTAAGAAGAACCCTAGCTACCTAAAATCAATCCACACTTGTCTGCTTTTAGACAACGTTGGATGTAAAATCTTCTTGCTCGCAAAACGAAATGGACAACTCCCAGAAGAAGAAGATCGAAACCCCAACTCCAAAATCCAAATTCGAGGTTTGTTTTTCCTCAAAGCTTACACCTTTTCCCCCTTATGAGAGATATGTTTTCTGGGTTTTAAGCTTGAGATAAGTTTAATTGAAATGTAATGATGCAGGATTCTCCAGTGTTCAACTACATTAACAATCTCTCTCCTATTGAAGCCGTCAGATCAATCCCCACTGTTCAGACCTTTAGCTCTCTCAGTTTCGCTTCTCCTCCTCCTGTATTCACCTCTCCTCACGCCTCTTTTCACAGAGAGTCCAGGTTCTTCAGATGGTACTAAACCCAACAATTCTCTTCTCTTCTTATTGTTTTAACAGAGTTTAGTTTTGTGTAATAAGTGTGCTTTTTTTTGTTGTTGTTGGTTGCAGTCATAACTCTGTTGAGCGTTCAAAGGCTTTTGAGTCTCTAGATGGGTCTGCTTCAAAACAAGAAGTTGTAGTAGCGTCTGGTGAAGTAGATCTAAACAAAGAGGCTACTTTGGAAGAACAAGAAGAGGAAACTTCTTGTGAGCTGCCACTTATCCTCAAGTCTCACAGCCAAGCTTCTGACCATGTTGATTCTCCTTGCACTGGAGATATTGTCACCCAAGTACTCATAGATCCTCCTCGAGGAGAAGACAATGCTTCTACTTCTGAGGATGTCAGTGTGAGACTCAAGAAGATTCTTGATAATGACACTCCTGGTTGTAGACGTTTGATGGCAGATGCAGCTGAGCTTTTAGTATTTCGATCTCCTAATGACTCTGAGGCTTTTGGATGTCTTGTGGATAAGATATCTAGCTCTGAGAGACGTTTCTGCGCTGGTGTCAAGCTAACCAAGCAGTATGATATCATCAAAGATGTTCCAGCCTCTGGATCCAGCACTGATAATGAGCCTTTGGCTGTGGTTCCAAGTCAGGTGATTCAGTTTTAAAGTTAACTTTTGTTGGCACTCATGAGTGTGGATATTAGTTTATATTGGGCCGCTTGATTAGTTAGCGTCTCTGAAATAGTTATTTTCTGTTGTGTTGTGTTTGTTTGTGGTAGGCTGTCTCTAACTTGCACCGTGGTAGCATGCGAAGACGTTGTCTAGACTTTGAGGTGCTAGGGAAGCGGAAGAAGGATATAGCTGAAGATCAGCAAACTCTGTGTGAAAATAACGCAGAATCTTCCTCGAAATGCGTTGTACCCGGTATTGGTCTCCATCTAAACGCCATTGCAATGGCCTCAAGGGGCAGTAAGATCAATATCATACATGAGGATTCAGCATCTGTAGAGATTCAAAAGAGTTTCCCAGGCTCTACCACTCCGGTTAACTCCCAAGACATCATGCCAGAAACTTTGGACCAAGCAGTAAGTAAGCCTGGGGAAGGGTTAGCTGTAGAAGAAGAAACTCCCAAAGCATTGGTGTTGGAAGAGTTGAATCAGGACAGCCTTCAGAAAAAGAAGCAAGTTTTTTCTTAAGAAAAGTTACATAAATAGATTTGTGCTTGTATACTTTTTCTTCTCTTTTCTTATCTATTGGCTTAAATGCGCAGGCGTAGGGTTGATGAACCTGGAGAGGGCGAGTCATGTAAGAGATGCAACTGCAAAAAGTCAAAGTGTTTGAAGCTGTAAGCTGCATACTCTTAGCTCCTCTTTAATCTTTGAATGTTGAAGAAGTTCAAATTGGCTTGAAGTAATTAACTGTCGTTTCTTTTCTATCTGTAGTTACTGTGAATGCTTTGCTGCTGGGGTTTATTGCATAGAGCCATGTTCATGTGTAGATTGCTTCAACAGACCTATCCATGAAGACACTGTCTTGGCTACTCGCAAACAGATTGAATCCAGAAATCCACTTGCATTTGCTCCCAAAGTCATCCGAAACTCTGATTCCATCATGGAGACTATTGTAAGAGCTCTTCTACTCCATCTTCTTATTCCTCTCTTTGTCCTCCATTGATCTGAGGGATGAAACTGTAATCTTGCGCAGGATGATGCAAGTAAAACTCCAGCTTCTGCACGTCACAAACGGGGCTGCAACTGCAAGAAATCAAACTGTCTGAAGAAATACTGTGAATGCTATCAGGTTTTTCATTCATCATTATAGTCCATTTTTATTTGTGAAGGTTATCATCTTCCATGGTCTGATAATTTGTTCCTGATGATCTTATAGAGTGGAGTTGGCTGTTCCATAAACTGTAGATGTGAAGGATGTAAGAATGCATTCGGCAAAAAAGATGGTTAGCTTCTTTAACACCACTTTCCCTATTAAATTTGTCATCCCAAAGTCTTATGATATGACATGATTTTCCCTATCTCAGCGTATCTACTTACTATCATGGAGAGCAAACAAGAGGAAGATGTGTCGAAAATCCAACAAAATCCCGACCTGTCTAAAGAAGTCGAGCAGAACCCAAGTTCTGATCAACCTTCAACACCACTGCCACCGTACAGGTATTACTATCAAAACTTCAACGAATACACAAACAAGACAGCTTCTGATCTTATGGTACCTTCTTTGCAGACATATGGTGGTTCATCAGCCATTTTTGTCTAAGAACAGGCTGCTTCCTACACAGTTTTTTCTTGGCGCGGGTTCTTCCTCTTTTAGAAAGCCAGACGGTGATTTAAAGCAGGCAAGGAATGAGAAGAAGCCTCTTGAAACGGTGACAGAAGACAAAACAGAGATTATGCCTGAGATTCTCAGCGATACCCCTATAACTACCATCAAGGCGATCTCTCCCAACAGCAAGAGAGTCTCTCCTCCCCACGTTGGCTCCTCTGAATCAGGGTCAATCCTAGGGAAGAGAACTAATGGCCGCAAACTGATTTTACGGTCCATTCCAGCTTTTCCTTCTCTTAACCCAAATCAGTGAAATAAAAGAGCCATTTGGTCAAGCTATGGAAACCAAACTATTTGTATCTTTGTAAGATTCTCTAGATGATTTTAAGCCTATATAAGCAACATGTTATTGTAAGATACTTGTCTTTTAGCAGGTAATGTAATATCTCATTCTAGTTTATAAAAAACATCCAAAACTGAACTTGAGAGATATGGTAAGTTTGAAATATAGGAGTCAAGCAGTAAGCAGAAGCTACAATGTTTATTAATTTGCTATACTATTTCAGAAACCATGAGTCAGTTCGGTGATCAAAGTGAAATAGACTTTTAGTGGGATAATGCAAAGCATATCTAAGAGACACGTTCACAGGAACCGGAGAAATCCACAGACAAGCACGAAAGCGGGTCAAGAAGCTAGAGGAATAGCACAACAGGGACTAACTCTCACCAATAGACCCAAGACCAACCTAGCACAGAAAGCCACATGAAAGGGAGAGAAGAAAGATCAACCTGTGAAACGAAGCTATTACCTTTTCCCGCCAAATAACAAGACCAACACAATAATGCAGAGACACAAGGCAGTAGCCAAGAACCAGACAAAGACTGCTACAGAGAAACACACATCACCAACTCGACCGGAAGCAACCAGTAACCACTAGAGCTAACAATGACTTGGGAGCAGAACACTAGCAGTAAGAGATAGGCAACTCAAACAGCTCCGCCGGAGACGAGACCACCAACAAAGAGGAGACTTCTTCAGACCTTATTCAACTAGCACCCGATAAGGAGAAGCCAATAAATCCCCACAAAGATGATTCCATTTTTTTAATAGGCTCTTTCATTTTTTTTTTTCATTTTGAGGGAATAAGTGTTAACCAAGATGATTCTTCTGACTTTTCACACGGTTTGAAATATTTCTTAAAAGATGTTGAAAGTTTTAGAATTGTCATTTGTTAATGCTAACTAGAGAGAGCTTAGGGAACCTCACAAAACGAGCTGCTAGAGCCAGAAGCTTGTTCTGTAAAAAACAACAAGAAACTCTTAGTGAGGAGAGGATGCAAGCTGAGTCTTGTTGAGATAAACTTGAAATAACTTGAGAATTAAGTTATATTTCCTACCGTGTTATGGATTAGGAAATAAAGAAAGTCATTGGTGTTTAGGAGTTATCTAAACATCCTATATCTAGTGTGATTAGGACTTTGTGTTTATATATATGAAGATACCAAAGTGTGGTATATAACATATGAATTTTGTGATTGAGAGATTTGAGAGCTTTAGTTTTTGAGTGAGTTTTCTAAAGCAATAAAGAAGAGTCATTTCTTTAAGATCAAGTGTGTTTCAATCCTTTGAGTTCTATATTTGGTATCAGAGTATCAGGAAGAAATGGGAGAGATTATTGCTACAACCGAAAAGTTACAAGAATTTGGAGGATCGTCGATGATACAATGTCCGATGTTAAGCTCCACCAACTATACCGTTTGGTCCATCAAGATGAAGCTTGCGTTACAAATACATAAGGACTGGGAAGTAGTCAAGGGAGAAGAAACAGCCGAGGGAGAGAAAAATTGAATGGCCAAAGCTCTATTGTTTGGATTCATAACAAAGACTCTTATTCTTCAAGTTGGAGAGCTCGATTCTGCAAAGAAGGTATGGGAGGCGATTAAAGCAAGGCATGTAGGAGCAGATAGGTTAAAGAATTACAAACCCTAATGAGTGATTACGATCAGTTTAAGATGAAGGATAACGATACTATTGATGAGTTTGGAGGAAAACTTGCAGAGATATCATCAAAGGCTTCAGCCTTAGGGGTAAGCATCCAAAAATCTAAACTACGCAAGAAATATATTCACATTGTGGCATTTCTCAAGCAAGTGTTAGACTTAAATACAACATGTTATGAAGATATCATGGGACGATTGAAAGCATATGAAGAACACATATGATAAGAAGATGAACCACAAGGAGATCAAACCAAGCTTATGTATACGAGTAATGAAGCTCAAAACGGACATTATAATCAGGAGTATAGGAAACATTATAGAGACTTCAGCGGCAGAGGACGAGGTTGGAATAGATGGACGAGAGATGAAACAAACATAACATGTTACCATTGCGACAAGATAGGGCACTATGCCACAGACTGTCCTAATCGTTTGTTGAAGTTGCAGGAAGCTCAAGAAAACAACAACAGCGAAACCATGAAGCAGATGCCCTCATGATGCATGAGGTGGTGTATCAGAACGAGAATAATTGTTTACCGGACAAATACGAGACCAACTCAGGAGCTGAGAACATATGGTATTTAGATAATGGTGCCAACAACCACATGACGGGAGATAAGAGATATTTTTCATCTTTGGATAGCTCAGTGACGGGAAAGGTACGTTTTGGTGATGACTCATGTATTGATATAAAGGGAAAAGGAACAATATCATTCATAGATATGAACGGTGAGTCAATGAAGATGACCAATGTTTACTATATCCCGGATCTAAGAAGCAATATCATTAGTCTCGGGCAAGCCACATAGTCATGGTGTGACATAATGTTGCGAGGAGAGGATCTAACTATGCATGATCCTCATGGAAAACTACTAGTCAAAGCGCAAAGGTCCAAGAATCGACTTTATAAAGTTCACATGGGAATCGAGAACACGACTCAACTGAATCTAGCATCTATTAGTGAATCACATAGATGGCATGCTCGGCTTGGGCATCTTAACCATGACACAATGAAGACGATGATACAGAGAGAACTTGTGTGCGGGATACCAAATGTGAACGTCGAGAAAGAGATATGTCCATCATGCTTATTGGGTAAAAAACCGAGATTATCATTCCCTCAAGTGAGTACTTTCAGAGCAACAAAAGTTCTACAACTAATACATGGAGATCTTTGTGGACCCATAACGTCTAATACACCTGCTGTAAATAAGTATATCTTTGTACTTATTGACAATTTCTTGAGATACATGTGATCAATTCTACTAAAAGAGAAGAGTGAAGCATTCCAGAAGTTCAAAAGATTGAAAAAACATGGTGGAACAAGAAACAAAAGAGAAGATAACAAATTCTCAGAACATATAGGGGAGGAGAATTTATATCCAACAAGTTCAACTTGTTCTGCGAGGTCTCTGGCATAAGGCGACAACTCACAGCTCCATACACGCCGCAGCAAAACGGGGTGGTGGAGAGGAGAAATAGGACGCTACTAGGGATGGGTCGCAGTATACTAAAGCATATGCATATGCCAAATTACCTTTGGGGTGAAGCTATACGACATGCGACCTATCTATTAAATAGAATAGCAACCATAGCACTTTATCATCAGACGCCATATGAAGTTTTTCGATGCAAGAAACCTAATATCAGCCACTTACGTATTTTTGAATGCATAGGTTATGCAAAAGTGGAGAACATGCAACTCAAGAAACTCGACGACAGATCTTGTATGCTCGTTCATTTAGGCACATAGCCTGGATTAAAGGCTTATCGTCTACTGGAACAGAGAAACAGAAGATAATCGTAAGCCACGACATTGTGTTTGATGAAACAAAAGGATGGAATTGGAGGAAAGATGACACAAACCACAATGGTGAATTCTTAGTTACTACTGGAGATTTTGGAAATAACGGCATCAAAAGTGGCTTTTATAGAGAACAATCAAGTTGAAGGAAAATCAACAAGTGATAATCAACTTGAAGACACCAGAACTCCATCGGAAGAAAACGTTGAGGAAAAATCTCGAGAAGATGTAGAAGAACATGTACCATTGAGGAGAAGTGAGAGACACATTGTGAAGCCAAAATATCTAAGGATTATGTTCTCACTGCAGAGGAAGAAGGAGAAAGGTTGTTGCTGATAGTCAATGACAAGCCGCATAATTTCGAAGATGCAAAGGAACTAAAGGAATGGATACTACCTTGTGAGGATGAGATACAATCGATCATAAGAAGCGAGACATGGAGCCTAGTTGATTTGCCATCAGGAGTGAAGTCAATAGGCATGAGGTGGATTTTTAATATCAAACGGAAAGCCGATGAAAGCATTAACAAGTACAAAGCCCTGTTAGTTGCAAAGGGTTATGTACAACGGCATTGACTAGATTTTAATGAGGCTTTTTCTCCTGTGGCTCGTCTAGAAACCATACAGTTACTTATCGGTTTGGCAGCAACAAATGAATGGGAGGTGCATCACCTCGATGTCAAAACATCGTTTCTAAACGGAGAACTTCAAGAGACTTTTTTATGTAACACAACCTGAAGGATTTGAGATCAAAGGAAGTGAAGGGAAATTCTATAAGCTCCATAAGGCTTTATACGGTTTAAAGTAGGCGCCAAGAGATTGGAATCACAAGCTCAATAGCATACTTCAAGAACTACAGTTTAAGAAGTGAGCAATGAGCCATCGGTTTACAGGAAAAACATGAGAGGATCTCTTCTGATTGTAGTGGTTTATGTTGATGATTTGTTTGTTGCATGAACAAATAAAATAATCATTGTTGAATTTAAAGGGGAGATGGAAACAAGGTTCGATATGAGTGATCTCGGGGAGTTTACGTACTACTTAGGAATGGAAGTACACCAACATATTGATGGGATCACGCTGAAGCAGGAACTATATGCACTTAAGATACTAGAAGAAAGCGGAATGGAGAGTTGTAATGAGACGCATACTCCTATGGAGTTCGGGTTAAAGCTATCAAAATCTGAGGAAGAAAAGGATATTGATGCTACAGCTTATAGGAGAAGTGTCGGATGTCTCAGATACTTACTACACACTAGACCGGATCTGTCATATTGTGTAGGAGTTTTGAGTCGCTATATGCAAAGACCCAAGGTATCTCATGGAGCTGCGATGAAACAATGCTTAAGGTACCTAAAAGGATCAACTACTCTTGTTTTGTTATTCAAACATACAAGCTCTGAGATTCCAAGGATCGTTGGATACTCAGACAACAGCCATAACATTGATCCTGACGATGGAAGAAACACAGCTGGTCATATCTTCTATTTCGCCGAAAGTTAATCACTTGGTGTTCAAGCAAACAAGAAACAGTTGCATTATCTTCATGTGAGGCCGAGTTCATGGCAGGAACTGAGGCGGCAAGAAAAGCTATATGGCTTCAAGAGTTACTTACTGAGTTTGGAGCAACCATGTGAGAATGTCATCATTCGGATCGACAATCAATCAGCAATCTCTTTGTCAA